GGTCCCCACCCCCCCCCCCCCCCCCCCGCCCATAGTCTTTCATGGTACACATGGGGCTGATTCCGGCTGACCTAGGGAAGATAGGGGTGGTGCATTGCCCCGGCCTCCCTCCCCCATGGCTCCAGGCAGTGGGGGAAGGCTTGGGCTGATCCCCCATCCCCCCCTTCACCTAGTAACGAGGCTCCCCACACAGAAATTCCTGCGTGCAGGACTGAATACATTACAATTTTTTAACTACTACATGTTTTTGTTTTTACATCCAAGCTAAATATTCAGCAACTGCAATTTCTAGAGTAGGAGGCAAATAATGTGAGCTGTATTGATTTTATTGTAGTAATGACCTTACTTGTATATAATGCCTTTCATCCTCAGGGATCCCTATGTACATTACATACTTAAACTGAAATGAAATGGCCTCGGATATGAAACAGAGCAACTATCTGACAGACCACACCAACACTATATGCAGCTTTTTGGCCAGAAAGACAAATAAATATACTTTTCAAATGGGAATGGTTAGTGTAATTTTAGGTAGGTAGCATGTAATCAGCATAGGGAGCAGCCAGACTGCTGGTCTCTTGCCCCCCAAAAAAGTTCTACAGGATTGATAAAGGCTAAATCTTTACAACTGGAGGCTAGTGGAACATATATAGCAGGGGTTGGCAACCTTCAGCCCGCAGCCCATCTGTGTAACGTGCCAGCAAGCCAAGAGACATTTAGTTTACGTTGGCTGTCTGCACGCGCACAGCACCTCGCAATTCCCAGTGGCTGCAGTTTGGGAAGTAGTGTGAGCTGCAAGATAGCCCACCATTGGACAGGAATGGTGAATTGCAGCCACTGAGAGCTATGGGGGGGGCCGTGCTTGCAGTCGTTCATTGCACACAAAATGTCTTGCAGCCTGCCAGCTGATTATCCTGATGGGCTGTGCACCAAAGATTGCTGTCCCCTGATGCATACAAATTACATTAAGGGATCTAAATAAACATTTTCACTTTAAGTCACCACATGCACCACACAATTGCTACGACTACATATGGGAAAATACAGTAGGTATGCAATAGCCCTCATTTTACAAGTTTGGTTATTCATGGAAAAAAATGTTATCAAGACTTTAGTTTGTAAAGCATCTGAAAGCCAAAACTTTGTATAAAATAGCAACCGTATCATGAGAGGACACTGTTGTGGTACTCAATCAGATGGTGAATGCTGTTTTTGAATCAGAAAAACTATTCCCTGCAGCAGCTAGGAGTTCTTCAGTGGTTTCCCATCCAATTACTGACCTGAGGCCAAACCTGTTTAGCTGGAGCTCTGGATTCTAATCCCAGCACTATAATAGGTTTCCTGTGTGACCTAGGGCAAATCACACAAACTGTTTATGCCTCAGATTCCTCATGAATAAATTAGGAATAATAGTTATTTCCCTACCTCTCAAAGGTTTTGTGAGGCTATAATTCATTCACATTTCTGAGATGTTCGCTTTTTGAGCTCCTCTCTAATTTAGGAATAGACAAACTAACAAGTAAAGAGCAATAAGAAGAAAAGGAATTGTTATAAAACCTTAGTCCTGGTTCCTTCTCATAGGCAAACTTCTGATGATCACTAAAAATGTGCCAGATTAAAAGATACAACCCAAAATGAAATCTTATCCTAGGATTGTGGAATAAATCAGGTCTCCAGGAAGTGGAAGAGGTTGCTTACCGTCTGAGTGAATTTGTTAGTTCAGCAGCTAATTCACTCTCATTGTATGGTCTCAGCTCAGCTAGGGTTAATGGTGGTGTGGTCCCATCTGTGCACTCCTGAGAAATGAACAAGATCATCTTACTCAGAGTTACTCATCTTTGCGGAGAGGAGGGGCGGATGACTCCAAGCACTTTTAAACTCACAACTGCTTTTAAAACTGAGCCAAAAATCAAGTAAGTAAAAACAACACAGGCATCATGTAGAAACATCAAGGTACATCAATGCACATAGAGATGGGTCAATGCATTAAAATCCACAGAGTCATTCAACGTTTTATAAATCATCCCACAATAGTAAATAATTTGCCAAATTCTACTATACATTCTCTTATTTCACTTTTGACAACAGGTTTGAAGGGAAAAAACACAGTGAGTAAGCAAAAATTCAAATGATGTGTATTCAAAAAAAAACAACACACACACACAGGAGGACACTATTCTGTAATTTTGTTTGCTGCTGAGGCTTTGTAGGACCATAGGAACAAAGGGACACAGCAGCATAGACATTGGATTATGGAATTTCTAGGGTACCCCTATTTCCTCAGAAAAATTATAAACCTACCTATAGTAATGCATAGATTTTGTGTTTATCTAAGGAACGCTTATTCCCCCTGCCCCAGCTATTGATTGGTACCTATCTGCACTGCAAGTGGATTTTAGAATAAAACCTCCAGGCATTTCCTAATGAAATTAACACTTATCTTGGTTTATTTCTGGATGCACAGATCACATCACTATTGACTTTCAAAGAGATTCAACAGTCAGGTGACAATAAAGTTGGCAATAGCAGCTAGTGTGCTAGTGCCGAACGATTGTCATCTTCCCAGAATTAATAACTCTGCATTTTGCTCAGGGGACATGGGCTTAACTTTGAGTGTCTGTGAAGTGCCTAGAGAGCCCAAGATGGAAGATGCCATGTAACTAATGCTAAAATATGTCATGGCCAGAATCCGTGATTTCCAGACACCTCTGTGACATTTTCCTCTTCAGCCCCAGGGCGGTAGGGCTGGAGCTGGAGGCCAGCATGTGTCTCAGAACTCTTAGTTGCAGGTTGCAGGGGAGACCTTGGAGCTCTGGCCCTGGGCAGTTCCCATAGCTTTGAGCTGCTGTGGGGCAGCGATGGGGACTCTGGCATTCTCAGCCACCATATGTGGTGGGGACCCTGGATCTTGGAGCCACCACAGGAGGACTTGAACTGCAGCAATGGTTGCTGAGCAGCCCTTCCCCCATTTTGTGGTTTCTCATCCATTCTGTCTCAGTTACTTTTACTAAAAGTCATGGAACGACTTCTGAGAGTTTTTGTTTATTGCCCATAACTTTTACTAAAAATATCCATGTCAAAATCTTAACCTTATATATTATTACATGCCATCTGGAAGAGGGAGAAAGGCTTTGCACATGGGAAGGGAGAAAGCAGGCCAGGTTAACATGCTTAAAACAGGGAAATGAAATGTCTTTAGTTAGGTTTACACTGATTAAGGAGACTTCCATTAATTCCTGACCTTGCCCAATTTGTCTTTGCTGCCACTACTGGTGGAGCTGAGGGATCTCATTTTCTGTTCTTTTTGCTCTTCTACTTCAGACTTCAGGTGCTCAATGTGTACTAGGTAAGCCTGTTCTTGGGCTTCTCGAGTACTGAGTTTCAGTTCCAGGGCTTTCTTCTCTTTCTCTAACAGGTACAGTTGTGCCTTTAGCTCTGCCATCTCTTCCTGTTTAGGAGAGACAGATCACATCAAGATACCACTTCACACACTGTGCACAAATGGAGTTTTTAGTGAATGAAATCACATATGTGCTGCTTGCCAGCATGGTGCTTGAATAAATTTTTCATTTAGGAACTGCTCGTATTATTCAAATGTATTATCTAAACAAAGAACATTTGCAGACATAGGCAGCAGAAAGGAATTTCCAAGTGTAAATACATTATTGTTATTGAATGTAATTATATAAAAACAACCAAGGAAATGTTTGAAAAGCTATACCCTTGAGCCATAAAAGGTCCCAGGCACAGAGAAGTCTGAACTGATATAATATATATTTACTTTTAGCCACACCAGCTTGCGCTAAGACTCCCAGGACCAAATTCACAGGGATATGTAAAGGGGTAAGTGATATTATTACTAGATTTGCTCCTTACTTTGGAGTATGCTCATTTATTAGGGTTACTCCTCAGAGGGAGAGGGGTTCAATAATTCTATCTATGTGCTGCTTGTGTCACTTGAGTTCTCAAACAGAGTTTTACTTCTCCCTCCTCCCAATGGAGCTATTCTGCAGCAACCTAAATTTTCCAGAGCTGAATTCTTTCAACCCTAGAAACAGATGCACGCAGACGCACACAAGCACGTACCCGCGCGCGCACACCATGTCTGAAGACCAGCTCATCAGCATTCACAAGCTGATCCCTTATACCCTGGACTCAGACTGGGTTGGACCGCAGTATCAGGCTCTGACCCTCATGTGCCTTTGGACTCAACGGGCTAGGCTGAACAACACTTAAGATGCCACTTTCATATATCCCCAGGTTCAGCACTTCTCAATCCCCACTTTTATTACACAACCATCCTGCTAGTAATGCACTTGATGAGCAAATCCCACAGGATTTGTGGGTGCTGCAGCAATCTTTAGTTTAAGGTACAAGGACCACTGCTGCAGAGCAAATGGGGAAGCCAAAAACCCAACCCCCCCCCAAAATCAACAACCCACCCCCAAGAGGAGGGGATGAAGAGAGACAGAGAAGCAACCAAATTAACCATGAAAACTATTTATTTCCAGGTAGTAATCATACAAGGGGAGCCAAAAACCAAAACCGTTACAATATTAAATCTAACTTAAATCTGATGCACAAAAGTTAGAGCTAGCAAGCCATAACTGATCACATACAGCAGGGCCAGGAGGCTATATCTAAAAAAGAGAGCGCAAGCGAGCGCCCACACGCACTGGAGCTCACCAATCTGTGACGCTTCAATCAGTCAGGGTTCCCAGGTGGCTGTGGGTCCAGAGGGCTGCAGGCAAGCAGAGCCCCCAGCACAATCAACCAGGAAAAGACGAAGTCCCCATTGGAACTAATGCAGTATTTAGATCCAGGCATTAGAACCCTTAGTTGAG